CGTGCACACCAAAAATCCAGGCGAAGACTGGAGCATGATAGCCCCCATCATCCATGCCGCTAGAGCTTCTTCTTCAAGCGGAATCATCGAACGGAGATCATCGTCTGATCTGTCGGTCCACACTCTCGTAGCCGCCCGCACCAGCACCCGGGTGTGGTCAGCAGATGAGCGCTGACTCCCATCCTCTTTGGAGTTAGCGAAAAGTCCCGCACCCTGCCCGTCTACCGTGTCGGCCCTTCCCTGCTCTGTTGCAGCTCTCACCGGTCCCGAGCCCGCAGACACCAACAAGTGAGGCTCATACGCCGACCCGAAATTTCGAGATCGAGCCACAACGTCACAGGAAAAAGCTCCCGCGATAGGAGAGGACCCGACCCGCGGTCCTTTCCCCTGATGCATCGGCTGCCTAACGTGCGGTGATAATGATGTAGGAGATCTGTGGTTGACCAAGCCGAGTAGAAGAATTCTGTACACATAGGTCACGACTCAACTATTTCTAGACGACCAAAAGCTTGTCGCATGGGCATCCTGGTGCAAGAACAGAGACAGACATTTGCCAAAAGGTACAATCGACGAGTATACCGAGGTACTGACACACATAAGTCCCTCTGCAACCACCAGTAGACGACGGAGTTTTCCTGGCTGCGAGTGCACTCCAAATATGGTGGTAGTCCTGGTGCCGGATTGCCACTCGAATTTGATGACCAAATGTGACCGCAGATAGAGTCTCGAACGGTACCGCCGATTGCATTGCTTGTATTTACATCAAACAATGTGTAACTAATGTCAACTCCAAGCAACCTAAAAGAGTAAGCATCGAACATCAGTGCCAGCCACAGACAGCGCCGTGCTGTACGCATAGATAAGTATCTAATACGCAACCTTATAAGATAGCCGGGTTTCTGCATTGCTTGCCAGGATATGTGCCCGGGCCCGCCGGCGCAAACATCCTGGCTCGGGACATTTCAGAGATCTTGTACACGAAGAATCTCATGAAATAGACGTGTGATTTCTTTGTAGACAAAGTTTGCCTGAACGAACTGAAACACGCCGAACGATAGACAATAAACGGTCAACATTGCATACAAGTCCTCTCCTACAAGCAGACATCGTGACGCAAGCCGACAAGTGTAGCAAAAATCGCGCTTCTACAACGAAGAATGAATGTGGCAGTGCTTGTCGGCGACGCAGCCAGGGCTAAACACGGTCTTGTCACAGCATTTTCCCGCTATTATTTGAACGCCGACATTTTTTGATCGTGGTACGACGCAATCTGGAACGAGCTGGGAACCGGCTGACTACCAAAACGGTTGGTAGGAAGCCTCGCGCCCATGAAAAGCGAACAGTAAAAGGCACAATCGTGCCTCCTGGTCCCGGCGTTTTAACAGTCTCAGCTTTGGCGGGAATGACGTCGTCTGATACGAGTAAAGAAAGGAAGATTTGTAGCTGGACCTCGAAGCATGGATGGTGAACATCTCTATTCCAGAAAGCACGCATGCTTGATTTTATCAGAACTACCTAATATCCTTTGTTTGTCAGAAGCGGATCTACGACCTCCTCCGACAAGCGATGATATCGATGGTCGGAGAATTTGATGACTTATCAGAGAACGCATCAATTTGAGGAGTGTGGTAGAAAGCTAAACGTTGATTCGATGCAACTTATCATAAAAACGGCTGCAGCAAACAAAGGAACAACTTCACTCCTTTGATTCAACTACAGGTAGAACAGGACAAGAAATCTAACTTAGGTGGATACATTCTTACCCGATTTTTGTGGTATGGATACGATGAAAGCTGTAGCCACGCAGTGTTTTGACACTGTCTTCTTTCAAGCTTGATATTTCTCAACCTCACGTCGCGGATGGTCGACGCTTGCCCACGTCGAAGTTTAGCTGCTTGCACTAAAACGACGGTAAAGATTGGACCGATAACGCTGGTGTCTTTCTGGCGTTTAAGCGGCACTGCCTGTTGACGCGATCGATTGTGAAGGGCTGAAAGAGGCCGGCAAAATGTACGGACTTGGCTGACTTGCTGTCTTGCGATGATCAGTAGCTGCTGGACCGAGATCTTGGCGACCTACTTTACAAATTGCTTCAATAACAAGGAAATAGTACTGAGTCTCCTGTCGTGAAACTGCAACGGAGATGAAGAGACACAAGGATATTTCGATGGAGAATGGGGAGGCGTAGAGTAAGATGGAAGCAGTCGCTAGGTGCCATAATTCTAAAAGTGCGTATTTGGATCCTTTTTGTCAATGTTGGGGCTTCTTACTCCCATCGAAAACCTATGAGTGTTTCGAGCCAGAAAAATGATTGAAGACCAGATTCTGGGAGAAGTTTAATATGCAGAGGAAGAGGTAGTAATGTACCAATTGTGGTGGTGCTCTCGTTGTAAGAGCAATGTCCAAAGTCATATAGTCATTCTGGTCTAAACTTGTGACGCCTCACGTAGTGGTCACACTATGAGGTCAAAAGACGCCGAACTTAACAGCATACCAAAGGACATATCGTTCCTGTTCAAAAGAGAGAAAACATGGTACAACACTTCTAAATTTAAACGCACGCCAGACGCGTTTCGTCAGTTACTTATCCAATCCAGAAAGAGATTTTCTGTATCCTGCGCTAACCAAACTAGAACCGTCTAGAACTTGGAATAACCACACAAATCACCCACTATACCGACCAAACCTGGCAGCTAGGGCGTCAACCCGGAAAAGAGTGTCCGCTATGACAACTCCACTTCCAACAGTTTCGGAGGGACCACTGCATCTCTTACTTTCTTCAGCATAAAAGTTTAATAATGACGTACAACAAATAGCAATGGACTGATCACTGCACTTTGAACTGTATGTAAAACCGATAAGTGTTCATGATGCCTTGATGTAGATGAACCCCGAAAAAGCTTCGGAACTCGGTCAGCTTTCTCGCACATCTGCACAGCGTGCTGTACGTCATGTGGCCTCGGTTTGGACGGAAGACAAGCTCCTCGGTATCGCGCAACGCTTTGGCTAACCGGGTCTGAAATTGTTGGACTTTCTTCGGCTCAACATGCACGCCAAGGTGCGGTCAGCGAGGTCTGTAGACGAGCCTTGTCGTTTACGTCGAGAGCAGCAGTCGCCTATAATGAAGACGTTAGTGTCACAATTGATGTTCGGCGGGTTATTGATGACAGATTGTGCGTTGGGATGCGAGCTGATGTAGCAGCATCAGGGCGATTTGACCACCGGTGGCTGGCATACGCCACGCTTAAGGATATGTCGTGGCTCAGAGATCGACAGGGTAAGGCATACAGCTTGAACGGGGCCGACTTTGCGCGAAACTTGAATTACCTTGGCGAGACAATGACGTGGACGACCCTGCAGAGTGGCATGGTCTTGTTCTCTCCTACGCGTGACATGGCGTCCCAGTCTATGGCAAAGCGACGGCATTTTGGGTCCTTCTGCCTCGCGCTGCTTTACAATTTCCCGTCACTGGTATATCGACCACTGGAGCCTGGGTCTGTGATTGCATACTCTACAAAGGTGCACCAGTTCCATGACTGGCTTCTAACTGGTGACGGTAAGTCGCTCAGACATTTCGATACGGGCATGGAATGTGGAGTGCAACCGGTCGCGTCGATGGCGGCATGCGATATAGCCGCGTCAACAGCTAGTAAGTCTCCTGTTCACTTTGGAGCGCATCCGGCGCTTACTCGCGTTGTCCACATGTGGGCTGGACGACGAAGGTGGCGGCCGCAACGACGTAAACTGAAACAGATTATCACCCGGCGGCGCCGTGCTGTAGGGAATAGACTTCTTAATGAACGTGTGGCAACGACGGACTTTCACGTGATCTCGGAAGGTACAACATTGATTACTTGGAGGGACATTCGACGAATACGAGCGTCCTTTCCGACAAACGCTCAGACGCTGTATAGGCTAAAGAGTAACAGTTTTCCGCTCTGGAATTGGGCGAAGCAAGATCTGTCTTGCCCGGTCCCTGAGTGTGCGACTGCTGGTCCAGCTCTGGCAAGCCATATCTTTTGGACATGCTCTAGTGCGCGTCGTCACTGGGAGTTTCTCCTTGATCGGTGGCGATGGCTTGGAACTTTCCAGGAGGCTGAATTGAATGTTTGGGTGTTTGGCCTGGACCTCCCGGCGATTCCACCCTACGCCTGGGATGTAATTAAGCAATCCATGGACCCAGGCACTAATTTATCAAAAGCTCAGGCTGCTATATTTCCGGCAGCTAGAGAGCTGTGGCGTTTTGTCGTATCAACGACCCTTCATGCAATCTGGGTCGAGCGCCTCCGCCGCATGGAAGACTCGTCGTTATCACAGGAGGTGCACATAGCCAGCGCCAAGACGAGCTTTCGTCGGTCGGTCATACGGTTTCGGCGATCAACCTATCAGCCCGAGATGGGGGAAGATGGGCAACTGTTTGCGCAGGTACGGTCGGCCTTGGCTGATACCCTACTCTGCTACGATGAACCTCCTTCGTTACTAGTCCGGCCTATCGACCGGCTCCCTGGCGAGCTTTACCTCCTCTTCTTTGACGGCGGGTCCCGCGGAAATCCAGGTCCAGGTGGAGCCGGGTCTGTGATTGTACGACTACACGTTCCGACTCACGCCGCATGCATTCTGTGAGTATCAAGTATGGCTTATGCATCTGCCGATACCACTAACAATGTCGCTGAATATTGGGGGCTCGTGCATGGTCTTCGGCAAGCAAAGACAGGCGACTACTCACCCCTGCACGTCATTGGGGACAGTGCGCTTGTACTTTCTCAACTCCGAACACAACACCCTCCACGCAAGCCGCACTTGGTGCGTTTATTCACTCTTCAATCAGCGTTATTTGGAGGAGGAGTATAAACAGGACCAGTACTGGCATCAGCCAGATACTCGAACGACGGCCATCAAGCCACCTCCGCGCCTCCCCCCCCCCCGATAGGGGGGAGGGGAACAGCACCCAATTCGACGCGCTACCCGATAGGCAGAGCCACACAGGAATGGCTCGCGGGATGGTAGCGGTTCATGGCGGGCAGGACGATTCCCCTGCCTCTACTGGCGTCACAAGACCACTCGTTACCCAGACGGCAGGTGGAGATATCGTAGTTGACACCATCATGGCAGACGACCAGCAGGCGGTTTTCGTATCGAGCCACGGGCCAGACACGGTCGGAGCCTCGGTCGATCACGGTTTACACTCGTCAACGCCTGGCGGCGGCGACAGAGCGTCGACGCGTCAGACAGCGGTATCACAACCCCGATTACCTGAGGGGGTAAAGACGACTTCATCCACGCCGGCCGTGGAGCACGTACCTCCTAAGGAGCTTTTTGAGGCTCTAATTGAGTCGATGAAAGCCTCACCAGGCCCAACCAACGTTGATGTCTGGCGTCTGTCCATCCAGGACCTATTTACAGCGGAATATGCTCGGATACCGGTAAGCGTCGACGCGTTACCGGCCGGACGCACAAGGTTTCCCAAGCTTAAGGGACCTGAGGCGGATAGCTTGCTAGATCTTTTTCGACGCTGTTATGTGTCAGCTTCTGGAAGTTTCGCCGACTGGAAACGACTGGCTCAACAGATCAGCAACGAACTCCTCCTGACGAAGTGGGCATTCAAGGAGATCATAAGAAAATTGGTCAGTCAGCAAAAGTGGGCCACTGCTCCTGTCCCCAATCAATGGGCAGAAGTCGTGCGGGCGGGTAATACGGCTCGCCAAATGGACAGGGAGAACAAAGGGAGCATAACCTATGAAGATTTTATGTTTGACCCGGCCACATTCTCGTTGGAAGACTCGATTACACTAAAGGCCATATGTGTGGCCCGGCTAGGTAACACGGGCTTCCAACGGCTACGTGAGGGGTCTGATGACGAATGGCGCATTATTGTGGGTATTGCCGAAGGGCATATAGTCTGTCGCCGGATGCCAGACTTTCTACGATCGGTTCTGGACAGCAAGGAACGTCTCCGGCTGTACAGTACCTTTCAGGCGCAGGTGGAGGGTCAGTTAGTTCTCCATATCAGCGGTGGGCGTGACATTCCTCTAAGTCGTCAGACAACGAAGGCCATCACGGAGAAGATTCTGGAATCAGCCGAGCTGTTGAGGGTCAGTTTGCCCGATCTCCATCGCCTGCTGGGATCAACGAAAACGATCAGTTACAATCGATCAACCCGGTCGGTTCACTTTTTCTTTTTTTCGCGGGACAAGGCAAAGAAGCTCCAGGACGTTCAAGTGCCTTTTCAAGGTCGAGTTTATACGCTGGAGAACGCCCATCAGCCGGTAAGGGGATCGGTATGGCAGAACCAGCGGGGTCCAGATGGTCGGTCGGGGTACCCAAGATCGGCTTATACGATTATCCTCTATAATCTTACCAGATTCGACGACATTGGACGCATAGCAGCTTACTCGCACTCGAAGATTCAAACAGAATTTGAGCTGGAGGACATGGACACATGCACACCAAATTCAAGAACATCAACAGCGTGGAAGGTAACCTTTTATCTAGCGGGCTGCCCGAAATTCCTACAGGGTATAGTACGATTACTTTGGTTTGGAACACTAATTATCATCAGGCATCCAGATGTGGGCCGTCGCCTCCAATGTCTGCAGTGTGGAACTTTGGGACACCCGGCGGGCAGATGTCAATTCACAGATGCGCAATTACGCGGGCCGGGTGGCGTAGAAGTTATCGAAGCAGATCTTCAAGCTGTTGAAGACCTCGCCAAGCCTTTTAGCAGTCCAGACGAAATGAGGCAGATGGCAATGAGACGTCTTCAAGTCCAACAATCGGAGGATGCGGCAGCGCAGGCTGCAGTGACGCCGGTGGCATTGACAGTTGTCCCCAGTCCGTCGCCAGTGGCAGAACCCCCTAGAACTGGCATACCTCTCCAACCGGTATATACTCCACCAGGCACGCACGAGGGGCCACCACCACCGGCCCCAAAATGCCGACCAGCGCAACCACGGCTGACCCGGCCTGTACGGAGAGGGAGGAGGATATGGTCACCCCTGCAGGCCTCGAAAGGCGATCTCAAGGTTAGCAGCGGTAGTTATCACGTGCTCCAAGAGGACGAGCTGGATGAGACCGAAACGTCCTCGAATTCTGTTAATAGAGATACCCATGATCTGCCAAGGCAAGCATCAAGTAAGATGACGGATCGGGATGCGTCTTCCAAGAAGGGACCACCCACGTTGACACCTGAGGATCTAGCACGACAAACAGCAGCCGCCAGGAGAGGACATGTGTCTGTTGTTGCGGGCCCAACGCTTTTGGCCAATAAACGCCGGGAGCGTTCAACATGTGAGCGGCTAACTAAACAGTTGTCACCAGGGACAAGTCACGCGATCCCCATGGAACCAATGCCTCATGCTGAACCCATGCATGTGACAGAATTGGTACAGATTTTGGGGCTCCGTGAAGTCGCCACACCGGCCACGGGCAATTGTTTGGCGATAGCCATAGCTCAAGCTCTCGCAGAATCTGCTTTGGACAACCCTACCAAGGACCTTGAGATTTTAACGGCTAGTATTAAACGGGGAATCTCCAACGCCGGACTACTAAATTTGGAGGATCAAATGGCTCATGACGTACGGGTTCATGCTTTAAAGAACGTTGGCAGAGGTTGGACGACGATGACCAGGGGGAGTCTGCGTCCCAACTACGGTGGTTTTTGCATGACTATGCAGCCTCCCCTTCCAACAGAGAAGCCCTGGTTGAGGAGCATAGCTGGGGTGGAAGTGACACTCTTGGAATGGCAGCCAATTTTTTGCATCGCACTATCTATGTGTTGAACTGTGGCCGCGGAACGGGTAACTGGAGTGGTCGCAAGTATTGTCCTGCTACGATCAACAGACACGGTCGAGTAGTGGAAACTGCCAAAGAATTTCCACTCACTCTCTTGGCGTGTATAGACGAGCTGCAAGCGGCAAAAATAGAGGCGCCTCGCGCTCCACCACTGGTGCTTAGATTCTGGGGCCGCCATTATTCGGCTTTTCTGCACACTGCCAGGGCGGCAGATCGGCTCAGCCTAACTGACTCCTCGGACGGAACAGGCTCAGCGCTGCAGCAAGGTCAGGACTCGCAAATTGTGGATACTTTAGCTGTGCAGCTAGAAGAGAAGCGCTCCCGTATTTTATCCCCTATCAGGGATCATATGTCGGTTGTGGATGACAACACTTCGATAATCATCCACTCTTCAAGGAACTGCGGTCTTGCCAAAGCGTCATCGCAGCAATTAGCTATTGTTCCATCGCAGATCAGGGGGGCCAATCAGGGCAGTTCGCTATCGGCTCGAAAACGTGGGCACGTCAGCACGTCGGAGTCCATCGAGGTCAGCGAAGGGGAGAACTGGAGTGGACTTGAGAGTTCCAAACAGAAAAAGGCAGGATCAGCGTTGCTTCTCCTCAACCCTATATCACCCGGATGGAGGAACGAATGGATACCGACGACTGGCCGGATCTCTGGCATGCTCTGGGCGTTGAATGGCCAGTAACGGCTTCTACGCCATATCCACTAGTGTATGGTAACCCTGAGGCGTGGCTGAAAACTGCCCAGGTCGAGCCAGAGCTGCTGCTCCATCACGTGCGACGCTTTGTTTTCCCGGGTGAACTGCTGGCTAGCCTAGGGGATCACGTTCTCGGGATGTGGACGGCTCAGTGGCGACAGGCGTGCTTGCTGTCTGGTCTACTTGAGTACAGGCGTCGAGTGCAAGATTCTATACAATCACTGTGGCTAGATCAATGGATCGTGCGAACACAGCAGCGATTGCCTTCCTCCCGGCTGGCCCCATTAATCGACAATACCGACGATTGGGTCAAGCTGAGGGAGGTAGACTACGCTACCGATGATATTTTGCGTCTTTGTGACCCTCACCGACGTATACGCCTGAGTTATCACCTACTATGTGCGGTATTGTTCGACGCTGAGATTTTTGCGCTGACCGGGGATGGGGAAAAACCACTTGAGCCTCCCGAGCAACTTCGAGGGCACCTACGCTTACTTCGGAACAACAGTCACTACAAGGAGGTGTATTACGCTGACGGGGGATCCAAGGTGGATTGGCGCAAGCTGGTTTGCTTCTTTAATACTGCGTTGGCTCCTGCAGAGCAGCAGTTTCTACTTGAGTACTAAGGGCAGCTTACGGAGCAACGAGGCCTTCAGGCCCGGTGGTGCATCACTCGACGCATCGGACGCCTATGGCCGCCATCTCTTGCTTAAGGAATGGACCAATTCTTTTGAGCCAGTTACATCTCGGCTCCAAGGCTGGATGGGTGACATGCTTTACATATCTCAAAATGTACGAGGATTCAAGGACAGCGTGCGCGACAGTTGGATGTCGGGTTGGCGGGCTAAGACAAATCGACACAGAACAGGGGCTTGGTGCATCCAGGACACACATGTGCACACAGAAGCAGAGGCAACTCGGCTGCGATATCAGTGGGCTCGACTATGGGGTCAGCATCTTAACCCGACTTCCCCTGTCCTATCGTACTGGAGTATTGGCTCGTCAAAACGGGCAGGAGTTGCTATTCTACTCACTCCACAAATTGCAACACATACGACGGCCTGGTTACCGGATTTCTGGACCACACGCGCGATCGCTGTATCTATGGGGGGAAGTCCTTGTGAATGTGTACGCTCCTACTTTGCGGTCCGAGCGAGAGGCTTTTTTTACCTCCCTGCTGACCTTAAATCTAGACCCCTCAAATACGATGATCGTCGGCGACTTTAATTGCGTCCAGAGTCCCCTTCTGGATCGATTTGGGAAGCATCGCTCCAACCGGTCAGAAAGCCCGGCCCTGGACCACGTTGTGTCTACGATAGGATTGGCTGATGCAAGATGGCTTCGCGAACACGCAGACGACGACTCAATGGATACTTTTGTGGACCATTTCACATACTGGGAAGGGGATAGGGCTAGTCGTATTGACAGATTTTATGTACCGGAAGGCTGGGTGGACCGCGTCCTGTGGGTTGAGACGCGCTTACCTTCAAATTTGTCGGACCATCAGGAGGTAGTTCTACACCTGCGAAAACCAACCAGGCGTCGCCCTCATATTCGACGTGATAGGGTGGTGTATCCCATCACAGCATCGAACCCCGATAACATTATAGCCGAACTTGTCGAGGAAATGGATGGCATGGCTGTTGGTCAAGCTTTATCTACCAGGACTTGGGATCTAGACGTTGCTGAGTGTGTACGCTGTATTCGGCGTGTCAGTAAGAGGGTGAAGCAGCGCAGGGCTCGATTTCGCCATAACATTCAGAGACGGGCACAGCAGCACTTGCTTACCAGGCCACAATGGATATCCTGTAAGATGGAAGAATTGCGTCAGGAACATATTGTGCGACTCGGTCAACAGCTGGTCAGGACAACAGATCGGTTACGGTTTTTTTATCGCAAAATAGCCGACTGGGAGCGCGAGCAAACCGTCACCGGTATTAAGCAGCTTCATGGACCGGTTTTTAGTCGCACCATGTCGACGGCAGATAAATTTGCCTCAGAGTGGTCCACTGTTTTAGGCGTGGTACATCGCAGTACCCCTTTGGAAGCCTTACCAGCCACCATTCGTCATTTTGTTCAAGTTCCCACCCAACGGGTACTTTCTTCGAGCGAGAATCGGTCTTTAATGGCCGATTTCACTGAAGATGAGGTTATTACAGCCATCACGGGCCTATGTCGACATAAATCGGCTGGATCTGATGGTTTAAACAACGACTTTTACAAGGATACGCCGGCGCTTTTGGTTCCAGCCCTGGTGCGAATCAGTAATCAAATATTGGCGGGCTCAGATCCTCCACCTTCTTTTCTGGAAGCGCTGATCATACCTTTGCGGAAGAAAGGTGACTCAGCTGATGCTATGGATTACAGGCCTATTTCGCTACTTCAGACCAGTTACAAAATCTTCGCGAAGGTGCTGGCGACTAGGTTACAAGTTGTATTACCTAAAGTCATTGGTGACTCACAACAAGGTTTCGTCCATGGCAGGCAGATGTTGAAGTCTGTCCTGATGATGCTCTCCCAACTGGCAACGGCTTCTTCTGATGCAACTCTCGACGCGATTAATAGCAGGGTCATCCTTCTACTTGATTTTCGAAAGGCATATGATACTGTGGACAGAAGCTTTCTTTACGAGGCGCTTCGACAATTTGGATTTGAGGAACGATATATTCAGCTAATTACTCGGCTGCATGAAGGGACTACGGCTACATTCCTCGTAAATGGGGAACGGTCCAGTCCAATATCCGTCGTGTCAGGAATTCAGCAAGGCTGCCCTCTGGCCCCTTTGCTATTCCTCGTGGTGGTCGAGTTGTTGGGAATTGCAGTTCAGCAGTCTCCCACCTTGAAAGGACTCCCGGTCCCAGGTAGCCGTACTCAAACGCACCGCTTCTCAGCGTTTGTCGACGACTCCACGATTTTTCTCGAGCAAGCGAATCAGCTGGCACCGGCTCTTGCCCTCGTATCACGCTTTGGAGCCTTATCTGGACTGGAAGCCCAGCCGTCAAAGAGCAAAATCATACTCTTGAACACAGGGGTGCAGATGCGAGAAATGGTTGGCATTTCGGTGCTACACCAGACAGAAACAGTAAGGTACCTGGGCTATGAGGTTGGTCTTGGTGCCTTACATAACCGCAATTGGGCTTTAAGGATTCGAAGGCTTCAACGGCGGCTAATCACAGCTTCCAGGGTCGCGACTAGTGTGGAGAATCGAGTGTTGATTCTAAACTCCATCATTCTTCCATCCATTTTATTCACGGCAGCGGTATTCGACATCCCAGAATGGGCGAGGCAGGCAATCCAAAATTTGTACAAACAATTTTTGTGGGCTCATGCCACTTCGACAGAAGCTAGCAGGCACAAGATCAACCCAGGACTGCTATTCACTCCGAAACACGCAGGCGGAGTAGGGCTGGCTTCATTCGAGGTCGCAATCAAAACTCAGCACACGAAACATGCACTGCGGTGGCTAACGCAAGCCCAGGACAAGTATTTTGCCTCTTGGTGTCACTGGGCTTATCAAGGTAGGCCAACTTCCTCATCCCTGGTCCTTTATGGAAGGGGTATACCAGGGATAACATCTTCTTGCACTTCGAAGCCGTCGAAACCTGCATGGATACAAGACATGGACAAGCTTTTGCAACCCACGACGGAGCAATTGAATTTTATTCGAGATCGCGTCCGCATGCACTATTCGACTTTGCTCGAAGGAGCCAGTAGCTGGTGGGAAGAAGATGAATGGGTAATATCTTACCATCACCCTTTTCCGGAAGCATTAGCATCCAACGACGTCCAAGTACTGGCACTGCACCGCTTTTGGGGAACGTTCGGATGGAGTAACAATTCGTGGATTCGCGACGGGCAGGGTCGGCAGCTTGTACGCTCCAAATACGACCGGATAGCTGACTGCTCCATCTCGGACTTGCACATTCGCAGAACCGGACCGAAAGAGTTTATCTTCAGTATCTCACTGGCTGGACCTGCCTCTAAGCATCACTATCAGCCGAAGTTAAGGCGCTGGGCTACATCTATCTTGCTCGCTTCGCCTTCTATTCGAATTGGGTCGGAACTAGCGCTGGAACCGAAGTTAGCACTTCGTCATGCGCCTCCGTTTCGGTATCATTTTGACTTTTCGACGGTGCGACATGGTTACGTCGTCGGGAATAGACGGGAGTCTGCGGATAACGGGTGTGAGCACGTCAAATTGCAGGCAAAGTGCCGACGGACTTAGATGGTTTTTTACCACATCATTACCTGAGTTGGTTACTGAAACTGTCGCTGAGAGGGACATTTGGCAGTAATTGCCTCATTGGGGCAGCGGCGTCGTCGTGGCTTCAGGAAAGGGGTGCCAGACGATACGATCCTGTAGCCATTCAGATGCCGTGCGGTAGATGTGCGACGTGTGACGAAGAATGCAACGGTCGTACCTTAAGTGAAACACAAGCAGCTTTGGCTGGGCAAAGTACGCCAGGAGATTTTCCTCGAGGTTCGAAGAGTGTCTACGCACTCGAGAAACATCATGAATTGCGGCAATAGATAGAAATGGGACGGAAAAAGTGAGTGGATGTCTGCGGGAATTGAAGAGATACTGGACCTTGTCTGGTGCTATTGATATGGCTGCACTCAGCAGGTAGGAAGATAATGAGAAATGTTGAAGCCGACGGACGGATGGCGAATAAAAGGGGTGAGATTGTCTTTGTGCATGTTATGCAGCTGCAACTAGGGTAAGCGGTTGGTCGACGGCTGCGTTGTTGTTGTTGGAAGATTGCAATTGCGTCCTGTTTGACAGCCTGTTGGTGTTTGCGTGTGCAGAGGACGATGATTGGAATCTCAACAACTAGGAAGTTGACGTTTCAGAAGGATGTCCATCGCAGCTCTTGGGTCAAGTTTGAGATAGCGACGGCGAGCGCCCTGGTCTAAACCGGTGACTTTTGTCTGAACTCCCTTTCCACACACAAGCAGCAACTGACCAAGAATTGGCAGCTAATTTCTCGACCTCCCTATCGCATCGTTGCAGCTTATTTGCAAGAAACAGCAGGCCACTACTGCACAGTCTCAGAAGTCATGATATCCCTTCAACTGTGCGCCGTTGATACAGTGGTGAGTGCTTATAAATGTTTTTTTCGAGCAAAGATCGTGGAGGCATGCCACTTAATTGGGTTGCGTTGGCATGAAATGGACTGCAACTTTGCCGTGAGTTCGTACAGGTCGATACTTGATGTTGGATGTGCCCGCCGAAATGCTTTTTGGTGAACACCGACGAGTCGATAGTTCCACGTATGACGGACATGAGGGAACTAGAAGACTCGTGAATGAGGAAACCAGGTTTGCGTTGGAAAGGAGCGATAACTATTCCGGCTCAAGCATCTTCCCGCTCTCAATGTCACTTGCTGAATTTGTTCTTCATCGTACGCCTACTGTCGGCCACGTCCTGGCAGGATCAACACACGTAATGGTACCATACTTTCGACACTTGTTAACGACACGAATACGCAAGACTCGCGGATAGAAAAACCTGACGCTGCCGAGATGCTATTACGTATGCCATCGTCTCCAGTTGAGTGATGCTGCGCTCACACTAGTTGATGATCCCACGCGCTTTGCCGCACTCGATGAAAGCGTCCACGGCCTTGTCAACATCTTCAATGCTGTGTGCAGCAGAGAGCTGCACGCGGATTCGAGCTTGATCCTTTGGAACAACCTGGTTGGGCAAACAATAGCAAGCATGCGTCAGTCAGAAAACAGTGCGTTCACGGTAAACAGTCGGGTCTTGCTGAGCGCGAATGATCGTACGGGGTAGCTGAAGCCAATCACGTAAATGCCGCGCTTGAGCATCTCATCAGCCAATTCAGACGCTAGACGAGCATCGCCCAGCATCACAGGCGCGATCGGGTGATCACTGTATCACACAGGACGATACAACAAGTACCATAAGATGACGCCGTCCCGAGTCAGCACTAGAAAACGTCAACCACTGTTATCCTACCGAGATCCCTTGAGTGAGAAGCCTGCAGCAGTCATCCGATCGCGAAAGCGGTGCGTGTTGGCCCGGATCTTGTCCACGAGCTCGGACGATTCCGTGAGCATTTGAAAGACCTTGAGCGAGGCACCAACCACTGACGGACCAAGCGAGTTGGAGAACAGGTACGGCCGCGACCGCTGCCGCAGCAAGTCCACGACTTCCTTGCGGCCAGTCGTGTAGCCACCAGTGCTACCACCCAAAGCTTTGCCAAGTGTCGAGTTGATCACGTCCACTTTGCCGCTCACCCCGCAGTATTCGTCACTCCCGCGTCCCGTTGGGCCGAGGAACCCCGTCGCATGACACTCGTCAATAAACAGCTGAGCATCGTACTTGTCAGCGAGCGCGACAATCTCCTGCAACGGGGCGACGTCTCCATCCATACTGAAGACCCCGTCCGTTGCAATGAACCGCGTCCGGCAGTGCTGCGTCTCTTTGAGCTTCTGTTCCAGGTCTTGCATGTCCATGTGTTTGAACCGATGACGTTCCGCTTTGCAGAGCCGAATGCCGTCAATGATACTCGCGTGGTTCAGCTCGTCCGTGAGAATAGCGTCTTCCTTGTTCAAGAGCACCTCAAAGAGTCCTGCATTGGCGTCAAAGCACGAGGGGTACAGGATCGTGTCTTCCGTGCCGTGGAAAGCCGAGATGGCGGTTTCCAGCTGCTTGTGGATGTCTTGAGTACCACAGATAAAGCGGACCGAGCTGAGCCCAAAGCCTCGGTCCTGGAGCGTCGAAGCTGCACCTTGGACCACCAGAGGGTGGTTACTCAACCCCAAGTAGTTGTTCGCGCAGAAATTGAGCACGGCCTTGCCGTTGACCAGGATCTCGGCATCCTGAGCAGACGCGATCACGCGCTCGTGTTTGTACGTGCCAGCGGCTTCGATCTCGGTGAGTTCATCGCGTAGGCGGTCGACGAAACTATTGCGAGTGGCACTGGAGAGGCAGCGACGAAGGGAAGAGGAGGAGGGGGACGAGGACGAGAGCGCACGGGCGGGGAGCATGGTGATTAATGAAGATTGGCCGAGGAGGATCCACTGATGTGCAAGTGCTCGAGATACGACGCAAGGGCGTGGCATCCTATCCCCCTTCCAATCCTTGAAGAGCAGAGGTCTACAATCTGAGCCTCTCTTTGACTGGCTGTGCACTATTGAAAGGGCGGGAAAGAAGAGACCGAGCGCCCTCGTGCGTCAAAGTGCAGGGTGGGAGGTGACGTATGGCTGCGTAAATGTATCTTTTGTTCGCACGGCGTGTGTCGATATGGACAGTGAACGAGACTTTGGTTCTTCGGTATGGAGTTCAGGCGTTCTTGGACAGTGGCGGACTGAATTTGGGCTGAGAAGACTTCCGTATAGCACATTCAAATTTCCAGCACGTTTTGGTGACTTGCATCCGAAGTGCATGTACTTCCGGTGTCTTGCTAGCCGTCGCTTGGCTCACTTTCTGCCTCATGGACTCATACTGTGTGCATGGCCTTGTCCACGGAAGTTGGACTACCATTTCTTTGCAGAAAACGATGCTGGCCTGACGAGGCATACAGACCCACGACTTTCTTGCACAACCTTTGCTAAGCACGACACTGACAAGCTACAATCGTTTTTTCGTTTATTCGATCTTGTCATGCTACGGTTATGATACGGCTACACTTGATCTTCTAAGCTCGCATTGATATTCCGTGCTTCATCTTTTATGATACACATACCCGAGTTTCAGCTGCAATATGACGATCCCTTTTGTCAACGATATGATTCAACAATTCGTGTTCGCCACACAAATTGGTCCAGAATTTTATGCTCGTCACAATCTGCACCCGCACTTCATCTCGATTTGGCTGGACATCAAGTCGTGTAGCCATCCCTGGACATCGTATCGTGTAGCCATTCTTGCTCGGAGCGTCGTCATGGGCAAAGCCAAGAAGCTCCGATCCATTAGCCACAAGAAGCGCGTGCCGCCCACAGGTGGTCCATCCGCCGAAGAATTGAGCGAGCTCGAGACGATGGATGTACAGACTGTGGCAGCAGACGAAGCGCAGCTGTTCAGGGGCCTCGTGGACGTCCAAGGCGCCGTGCGTGAAGCCACTTGCGTCGTGCTCGCCACGATGTTTGGCGACCTAGAAAGCGACGAGACGGAGGCCAAGAGCCGGTGCAAATTGCAGCGGATGGTGGACGCGGGCCTTTTGACGAGACTCATTCCGCGGGTCGTGGATCCGCTGCCAATGGTCCGTCTACACGCGCTCGGAGCGCTGCGCAACATGAGCGTGACTGGCGGCTTGGAGCTCTGCGAGGTCATGACAAGGCAGAACGTTGTCACGCCGCTGGTAAAAGTCATTATTGAGAACGCTACGGACACGGCACTGTGTAGCAGTGGCAATCAGCGGGCAGTGCAAGTCCTGGAACAAGCAGTGGCCCTACTTGGGAATTTGTGCGAGAGCTGTCAGGCAGCAATCAACGAGCTGACTCAGGGCGACCTGCTGCCACCGATTTTCAGGATTGCAGCATTGGCTCGTGCACACCCGATGCTGCACCTCGAGACGCTGAAGCTGCTGTTGCTCATTACTGAGAGTAATGTACAGCTGAACGAGGTGATTGGAGCTGATGCAACGTACCAGCAGACGATTCGTGATCTCGTGCAGGCACCAGCAGATCAACTGTCGCTGCAAACTCGGCTTGAAGCTGTGGGCATTGCTGTGAACTTGCAGTCAATGATGCAGGTGGAAGATATGGTGGCTCGAGTTGTGCCGGTGCTGGAAGCGGCGCTGGCGTATGATGCAGTAAATGTAGTGCAGATGGCACAGCAAGTGTCTTTGAACTATGAGCGGTCACAACAATCCATACTGGACGATGAAAATGTGGACGATGATACGTTGACATCTGAAGAGAAGCAGGAGATTACGGCTGCGCAGCTGAAGGTTCGCGCGTGGCGCGATAGTGTGCACATACTTACTTTGGCACTTGAATTGGTGGCTCAGCTTGCTGCGTCTGGAGATGATTACGACGATGAAGAGGAATGGGCCAGTGACGACGATGATGCCATGGAAGAGTATGCAGCATCTCACATGGACACGGACGCAGCAACTGGTGCGACAAGCAGCCCCTTGTTCAAGTTTCTTGAAACAAGTCGCGTGCTTCCGCTTTGCATGAGTATTTTGCAGGGACTTGTGTCCATCCCGCAGCTTGCCACAAGGACAGTCGGTACGTCTTGGGCTACTCTCCTTTCTTCTGCATACCGCATGAGCTAAGCCGTTTTGTGCTCTTCCAGGAAAAGATTTCGAGACGATCCGTATTCGTGTGTGCAACGCTATTAACAATCTTCTGCTGAGTGTGTCGTGGAAGGTGCTCAGTGATGAGATGGTGGCCCAGATCTTCAGTAACCTGTGTGCTTTGTATGGAAATCTCAAGCGTGAAGTTGAGTCCGTTCCTACTGCTCCCACCCCCTTCTCACTCGAAAGTAGCGCAACGAATGACCTTGAGGTTGCAGTGACTACAGCGATGCGATCTATGTTGCGTCGTAGTGGACCTGAAAGCTGCCAACTAGCTGTCACAGCTGAAGATGCCCAGCTGATCTTGAACTGCGCTGCTCAAGGACGCTCTGTTGAGTCCCGGGTCAATGCAATTGGTATGATTGGCTGCGTGGGTAAGCGTTGCTCTAGTACAGCTGAAAAGGAAGCTGTTGGACGTGCTCTGGTATTGCAACTAGACGACTCGAGCCTTGAGGTGGTCGCTGAGACCTTGAATGCCATCTTTGACGTGTACGACGACGAGGAGTTTGATGACACGTTCCGGGCGCTTGGGTTCCTCAATACACTAGAGCGGACGTCCAGTGCAATGAAGACCAAATTGAAAGCAGAACAGAAGCAGTTAGATCGCGCTCTCGTGGCCCACGTAAAGGAGACCCGCCTCAACCTGTTGCGCTTCATCAAGTACAAGAAGAAGCACCTGTAACAATGACACGAGCAGTAAGCTCCGTTTTTGTGTACAGCTGAACGATGTACCTCGTTCTCGTTTGCATGCTTGGTTGTCTTGTGTGCTGGTGCTTCTTTCGGGTTACAGAAGGTGTGAACCTGCGCTGGAAAGCAATCGTATCCATTGATGTGCTTGACCCGTGGAGTTAACATACCGCAAAGTGCTGCATGGATATGAGAGAGTCATTATAGTCAGAAATGAATGCACCACAGTTGCTGCTTGACATTCGTAAGGCTTTGGTATCATCAATACATGCGACGTTACCGCGTTGATTAAGAAAGACCTAGAATGTCAGAGTCAAACATAGCATTCTGACCGAGAGCCAGAATCATGATTTGGCCTGTCAAGGGATCTCTGTCTATGATTGAAGTTCATCGTCTGCCACCTCTGATTGGTCCGTCCGACTTTCAGCAAATCGCTGCGCTTCACGTGGCCCTCAGCAGCTCGCGCAAGACCATTGGATCATTTTCCCATTTACCTCGTACCCCCCAGAGAGCCGTGAGAGGCATGAGATTGCTCTCGTGCATCGCTGTGACGAGTCTCCTGACTCCCGTACGAGCTCTGTACTCGGAAGAGGACCATGTCAAGATACTGGACGACGAGGACTTTCGTGTCCAGGTGCAGCAGGACTCGGGCGTGTGGCTCGTGGAGTTTTACGCGCCATGGTGCGGCCATTGTAAAGAGCTGGCTCCAGAGTACAAGAAAGCGGCCAAAGCGCTTGCAGGTGTCGTGAATGTAGCGGCAATTGACTGTCAGGAGAACGAGGGCTTTGTACAGGAGTTTGCTGTGACCGGGTATCCTGCCATCATGATCTTTGGCGAGGATAAAACTAAGCCGACCTTGTTTGACGGGGACCGCACAGCGAAAGGAATTGTGGAAGCTGCGCTGACAGCGTCTCGTCGAGTGGTCAAGGCCCGGTTGGACGATGGTACGGAGGAGAAGAAGAGGAAGTCTCGGTCGGAAGCCAAGAAGAAGAGGAAGGCGAGTGGCAAGAGCAGCGTGGTACAGCTTACAGATGCGACGTTTGATGGCATGGTGCTGAACAGTGGAGACGTGTGGCTCGTGGAGTTCTATGCGCCATGGTGTGGCCACTGCAAAGCTCTGGCTCCAGAGTGGGAGCAAGCGGCGTCTAATCTGAAGGGATCCGTGAAGCTAGGAGCTCTGGAAGCGACAGTGAACGAAGAGAAGACAACTGAGTACGGGATTCAAGGGTTTCCTTCGATTAAGGTATTTGGACCCAATGCCATGGGTCCTGCGGATGCCCAGGACTACACGGGCGAGCGCACGGCTTCTGCTATTACGGACTTTGCTTTAACAGCGCTGGAGACAATGGGTGGTGGTTATCAAATCAAGGAGCTTGTCTCGGAGGATGCCGTGGCCGATATTTGTAACGGCAGGTCGAGCTGCGTGATTAGCGTCCTCCCGCATATCACTGAAGGCGGTAAGCGTGCGCGTGATGGCTTTATCAAAACCCTCGAAGACGCAGTGAAGCTGGTACTTGGCAAGCCGTTCAAGTTTGGATGGATGCAGGGCGGCGACCAGCCGGAGTTTGAGAACCGCTTCGAGCTGACGTTTGGATACCCATCGTTGGTGGCTATCAACTTGGATCGGAAGCGCTACGTCGTGCAACGCGGTGCTTTTACGGCCGAAGCCATTAGTGAGTTTTTGCAGGATGTCATGCAAGGTCGCGAGTCGACGGTGGGCTTTGATGAGCTACCGGCGATCAAGACGGTGGAGCCGTGGGATGGCGAGGACGTGCAGCTCGACGAGATTGAAGAGGATGATGATGATGACGATATCTTGAGTGAGATCCTTGCCAATGCCGTCAAAAAGGAAGAGCTGTGAGACGCATGCAGCGTAGTAGGTGTCTGTCTGGCCTGTGACGCATTGATTTTATCGCGTACTGGTGTTACTTTGCCGCCGGTTTTTGACGCTTTCCGACTTTCTAACCTTTTTTTTTTTTGCCGAATTGCATTGGTGGATGGTTAAGAGCTAGTTCCGTCTCACTTCAGCTATCGAATGACTGCAGCACTACATTTACGGAACGATGTGGCTGAAGTAAGCCAATTTCTCACGAAGACACGAGCTGACAAGCGCATTCGCAGCAATGCAATAGCGTTAGAGTCGGCTCTATGTCATCTGAAGCACCGTCAATTGACTCTATGCACATTGTCTCTCAAATGTCAGAAAGACAATGTTGAGTCTATCAGACCAGTTCTCCCCCGAAAACCATATGATGAACCTCAAGTGGATTCACGCGACCACGTTGTGACGCAAGAGTAAATCGCAAATCCAGTCCTACCCAACTGCAACCGCTGCAAACCCGCATCATTCGCATAACCCGTGCCACCTCGTGACGGGATTACTGTGTACCACGCTATTCTATGGGCAACGGATCAATCTGAGGCTGCAGTTGCGAAGCATAGTATTGACATGGACTGAAAAACCGTTATTGCGTTGAAATGGCCGGGAAAAAGGCCAGCGATCGACTAAGGCGCGGTTCGTATGCCGCTGAAATGGTATTTTCCGTTACAACAAATGGTCGCTGCGAAGAAATTTACCTGGTGATGTAATGGTCCACTGATGATGTTGCCATTTTGTTACTAGACTGCGACCGCTGTGCCTGTCATCCTTCCGAATCAATCCTGTAAGTGAGTAATCCATTTCCATCTTACTAAACAAAGATGCAGTTCGTAGCCCAGTGACATCGCATTAATAAATATGATGGTTAACATATTGGAGCAACTGAAGTTGCAATCAGGTAAACATCAAAACGCTTGCCTGATGCATGCTGTTGTCTAAGCCTGGATGAATAAACCTGTATTTGGTCATTTCGAGTGATTATACAATACTTATCATGTCGGCACGATAACGGAAAAAGGTCAGTTACGCTGCTGTTTCATTCACAATAATAATGTCATTCAGCGCTAAAGTGAGAACAGTGGACGATGAAGAAGTGCACATCAATAAAATCTCATCACTGCGGTACCTTCAGTCGCAAAGCACATCTGATCGAAAAGGGCATGGTTTAAATCTAATCATTCACGAATGCCGCAGCAGTCACATGTTACGGTGGCTGCCAATGCTTAAACCCACCTGAATTCATAAATTAGCGTGGCTTACCGTCGTTTTCTGAGCTTTCACCCTGTCCTGAACCTCCTTGCACATTCTTAGCTGGATCAAAAGAGAGGCCTGCACAAGACATTCCCTACACAGTTCTCAGGTTTTAGCAAATGACGACCTCCGATGAAGGTAAAGGGCCATAAAGGGGGGCAAACGTCCTGAGTGTGTGGCTACTGCATATAGAATGGGAGGTTAGAGTTATGGTAGGATGAAAACAGCGTGGTACACATTAATTCCGTGCCAAAGCGGTGCGGGTTTTGCAATGTTCGCATTCGGATGGTGCTGGGTTTGCGATGTACTCGTGACGCAACTCCATTACCGTCGCAAATGATTCTTGCAACTGCCTCTGAAGT